TGGTACCAACGGACCCCAATACCCTCTATATCCGATCTACGGGTATCCACTGTCGATAGTGGCGCGCCAAGTAGGGAGACTTGGTGCTCAAGGTTCTACTACTATGACTTCAAGCCTTCTCGACGACAACGTCAACACCGGCATCGACCAAGGAGTTTCAACTTCGACGATGCTGATGTGGACTCAAGTAGGTGAAATCGTCTTCCCGGTCAACACCACAATGCCGATCTCGACTGGCGCAGCAATTATCGGTAGTGAGAACAGCATGATTACGACCCCGGTCGACTCCATGTCGAAAGATCTTCCCGCAGAAGCGGAGAACGGAACGTCGACAATATCCAAGCCCGAGAAGGATCCTAATGCGGCCAAATCTTGTCCTACCCACAAGAAGCACGAGCCTACAAGGACAACTTCCGGGGCGACTAAAGCTTGGTGTCCACTCCACAGGACTAGCAAGCACACCTTGCAAGCTTGCTCGGTTTTCCTCAGCGTACAAGCTGAAATCTGTGCCTGCAAAGAGCGTGGAATTCAACGTATTTCTCCAACTCGTGATGTCTATTGTCCTATCTATAAGGCAAAGACTCACGACCTCTCAAGCTGCAAGGTCCTTCTCAGCGCCATGAAGGTGTCATCCCCTAAGGTCCAGCAATCACAAATCTCTCCTAGAGATACGGACAAGGAACAAGGTGCGGCGACTACTTTAGATCGATTCGTCGGGGTAATCGATATCGATCCCCACGAGCCATCTGTCCTACATCTACTCGAAGACCTGGCCTCATCATCAACAAGTACACCACGCGACGTGTACGCTATCGATGGAACCAGCACATCTAGAGGCGGCAACACAGGAATGGAGGATCAATCGGTTACGCCGACGCTGGCCCAACATATCAGAACCCTCAATGCGATATTGAGCGAAAGCCCCTTCGATCCCGTCCTGAACGCTGATCTCGATCAATGGGCAGAACGACTACGGGAATCAGTGGCTAACCTTAGTAACGCATTCGCAGAGGCCGCCGTGAGGGCGCCACCAGAACAAACGTCGACCGGCGACGCTAATGGGGAACAGCCTGATTAGCGGACGCCACTGCGTCAAGCTACCCCTCCACCTTGCGGCACCAGTGATCTCCGCAACCATCTAAATGGCCGCCGAGAAGCGCGACTCACTCAAGATAATGAAAACCATTCCCGACATCGCGTCTCTTCGTGACATCGCAAGAACGGCAAACAAGGAGGACATCCGAGCGAGAACCGAGACCGTGATGATCGCCACAACCGCCGCGAACATACTAATCGCGAGCAGCGGGTGCCGGGCGATACCAGTCGAGGTCGACGCCGTGACAATGACGACGACGAAGATCGACGCCGGGACAACAACGATGGGCGACAGCAAGGCTCACATACTCGAGCGTCGTCCTCGAAACCGCGCCCCGGAACCAAGTGACTCATCATCATCATCATCATCTTCGTCATCTTCATCGGACAGACATCCGCGACGAGCGTATGATCGCCGACAACCTACTGCCCCTGGCAGCGGGTGCAGGGCTTTCACTCGTACTCTGCGAGATGTTCGATGGCCTGAGAAGTTTCGACCGGGAGCAATAGAGAAATACGACGGAAGCACCGACCCTGAAGAATTTCTTCATGTCTATTCCACAGTACTCTATGCTGCCGGAGTAGACAACAACGCATTGGCGAACTACTTGCCGGCTGCGTTGAAGGGATCTGCACGTTCATGGCTGGTTCACCTTCTGCCCTACTCAATTTCTTCGTGGGCAGAACTGTGGCAACAGTTCGTCACTAACTTCCAAGAAACATACAAGCGCCACGCGATCGAGGACAACCTACACGCGTTGACGCAGAATCCGGGCGAGTCATTGAGGGACTATATTCGGCGCTTTAATGAGTGCAAAAATACGATCCCCGAAATCACCGATGCTTCTGTAATCCGCGCTTTCAAGTCTGGCGTCAATTAAATATGATTGATTTTTTTCCATAAATGGTCAAAGTTAAAAATATTTGACTTATCAATGTCCTCAAAATGCTTATATTTTAGAATGGGGGAGTAGGAATTTTGGAGGCAATCCTACAATCAAAGCTCATGATGGAACAAGAATTCCTACGTACGGTTTCTCAAATCTCAATCATATGTTGTAAAATTTCTTGTGTTCTTTGAACAATTGTTTAGGGGCTGTTTAGTTCGTGAAAAGAAAACTTTTGGATACCACATCGGATGTTTGACCAGATGTCGAAGGAGGTTTTTAGACACGAATGAAAAAACTAATTTCATAACTCGCCTGGAAATCGCGAGACGAATCTATTGAATCTAATTAATCTGTCATTAGCACATGAGGGTTACTGTAGCATTTATGGCTAATCATGGACTAATTAGGCTCAAAAGATTCATCTCGCGATTTCCTCCATAACTGTGCAATTAGTTTTTTTAATCTATGGGTGTGTTTAGTTCCACGCCAAAATTGAAAGTTTGACTAAAATTGAAAGTTTGAAGAAAAAAGTTGAAAGTTTATGTGCGTAAGAAAGTTTTGATGTGATGGAAAAGTTAGAAGTTTAAAGAAAAAGTTGGGAACTAAACCCGGCATATATTTAATACTCTATGTATGTGTCTAAAGATTTCATATAACGTTTTTGAGAAAAAAAATTTAGGGAACTAAGACCCTGTTTAGATGTGACTAAAACTTTTAAGTCCCTATCACATCAAATGTTTGGACACTAATTATAAATATTAAATATAGACTATTAGTAAAAAACCCATTTATAATCTTGGACTAATTCATGAGACGAATCTATTGAGCCTAATTAATCCATGATTAGCCTATGTGATGCTACAGTAAATATTCTCTGATTATAGATTAATTAGGCTTAAAAAATTTATCTCGCGAATTAGTTTTCATTTATGTAATTAGTTTTGTAAGTAGTCTATATTTAATAATCTAAATTAGTATCTAAATAAAGGGACTAAAGTTAAGTCCCCGAATCTAAACACCACCTAAACCATATATTAGCTGTCAAAGGAACTCTCCGAAGAAATTTGCTCTTCAAATATTGCACTGGCTACTTGACCAGGTGATCCGTGTGTTGACCAATAGCACACACTAGCCCACTACGGAGGTAGTAGCTTTTAAGTTGGCACTTGTGTACATCACATCGCTGCAGTTTGAAGGATTTTGGAGATTGCGCATGCAAAAGTTGACTAGCAGTAATGTATACTCTATCCGTCTTAGAAAAATAAACCGTGGGTAGTATAACGACATGCGGGTTTATCTTTTGTTTAGAACAAACTATTTCTCCAGATCTATAATATTAGTATAATTCGGTTTTAAATTCTTATATTCTAAGATGAATGAAGTACTCTCTACATAAAAAAAATAAGCAACCTACAAGAGAGATGTAACGAATCTGGACAATCATTTATCCCTTTCTAGATGTCATATCCTTCAATAGGTTGTCTTATTTTAAATGGAGGAAGAAGATAGCAATGCTCCCTCCATCCCATAATATAAGGGATTATTCATTTTTGGTAGTTTAAGGATAACAAAAAAAAATACTAAAATGCCCCTATTAAATGATATTTGCTTATTGGTGAGTGGGTAGTTGATGGTTAAAATGGATAAAAATTTGAATTAGAGTTGATAGATGTGACAAGTAGTATAGTAAAATTTCTTATATCGTGAAACAACTAGATTAGATAAAATCTCTTATATCGTGGGACGGAGTAAGTATCTTGGAAGGAATGAAAGGAAAGAAAAATAAATGCTGCAATCATATCTCTTCTCGATAGCCGGTCGGTCTCCGTCGGTGATGATTACCAACAGCTAGCGAAATTTGACTTTTGGATTTAGGGGTGTTTAAAAATTAGATCCAGGGTGTAAATTTGACTTTTAGAGCTAGCGAAATTTGACTTTTGGATTTAGCGAAATTAGATCCAGGATGTAAATTTCCGGTGTCACATCAGGTATTACTATATAGAATATCACACGAGGGTGTTCGGGCACTAATAAAAAAACTAATTACAGAGTCCGTTAGTAAATCGCGATACGAATTTATTAAATCTAATTAATCCGTCATTAGCAAATATTTACTGTAGCACCATATTATCAAATCATGGAGCAATTAGGCTTAAAAGATTCGTCTCGCAAATTAGTCCTAATATGTGCAATTAATTATTTTTTTAGCCTACATTTAATACTTTATATAGGTGTTCAACTGTTCGATATGATAGGGTATAAAATTTGTTGCGAGGGAACTAAACCGCGGGCCTTACTTCTGTTCGTACTAGTATGTGTAAACACTAAGTAGCAAAATTTGACTTTTGGATTTGCCTTCATTCGTACTGGTACATGCATTCGCATCTTCTTCGCCTTCTGCTCCGATATTTGGGAGAAGGAATTAGACCTGTTTAGATAGGAGTAAAACTTTAAGTCCCTATCACATTGAATGGGAGTAAAACTTTTAGTACCTATCACATCGAATGTTTGGATACTAATTATAAATATTAAACGTAGACTATTAATAAAAGTCATCCATAATCTTGGACTAATTCGCGAGATGAATCTATTGAGCCTAATTAATACATGATTAGCCTATGTGAGGTTACAGTAAACATTCTTTAATTATGGATTAATTAGGCTTAAAAAAATTATCTCGCTTTCATTTATATAATTAGTTTTATAAGTAATGTATATTTAATACTCTAAATTAGTGTCTAAATATAAAGACTAAAGTTAAGTCTCTGATCCAAACACCAACGTAAGAGCTAGGAGTACTATACATAGGAGTAGTACACATGTACTACTACTATCTGTTTGCCTCTTCCCACATCCTGCCATTCATCCTAGTAAGCACGAGAACGAGGTCGAGCACGTACGGGAAATATCCATGGCGAGTTGCTTTAGAGGCGGCTTTCGCCCGGAAAAGCAGCGGACGAAGGCCGCCAGCGGCGGCGACGACGACGACAACGACGGGGGCGGACAGCTGACGGCCATCCTCAACAGCCTGGTACAGAAGGCATCTGACAAATTTCTTAGAGGTTTCATGGGTGTCCTCACGATCGCCCGCGAGTACTCCACCCTGTGCGAAAGTCTGCAGATGCTCCGACAAGCGGCTGAATCCGCTGGAAGAACTGGTATGTATGCACCCCTCCTGGTTCTTTGATTTGTTGGGAAAAAATAGAAATTTCAGAGAATTTTAGTGCTATAAAAGAATTTTCTACGAGGAGTTTTAAAACAAAGGATTATATAGATTTATATGAAATGGATAATTTTATAGCTCCAACCTCTTGAAAATTTTTTTCTTTAACCCTATTTCTCTTATTCAATTTCTGTGTTTTTCCTATGGCTCAATCAACAATTAGGGCTCCTTTAATTTGGAGGAAAAACGTAGGGATATTGGAGGATTTTAATCTTATAGAAAAAATTTTCTATAAAACCCTTTGAAACAGGATTAAGTCCCATTATATCCTTTGAAATTATCATAGAATGGACAATCCTACAAATATTTTAGAGGAAATTTAGCAAGAGCTCTAACCTCTTGGAAACTTTTCTTTTGAGCTTATCTTTCTCATCTGATTCATGTGTTTCTGTGCGGCTCAATCAAATAGTTATTCTGTGATACTGTAGGCATATATTTGGTGTTGGTGGATTTTTTTTAGGGTGGGGGGTGTCGAGGGTTTGAGTTTACAGATGTAAACTTCATGAACCAGGTTGCCTCTGGTACTGTTGAAAAGCCAATAAGCAGGTACTCTCTCTCTGTTTTAATATGTGACACTGTTGACTTTTTATATACATTTGACTATTTATCTTATTTAATAATTTAGGTAATTATTATTTATTTTATTATGATTTGATTTATCATCAAATGTTCTTTAAGCACAACTTAAATTCTTTATATTTGTATAAAAATTTTGAATAAGATGAATGGTTACATGTTTGTCAAAAAAGTCAAGGGCATCATATGTTAAAAAAACAGAGGGTACGGGTCTGATTGGCACAGCTCCAGCTCCAGCTCCACCCCTCCTGGAGCTGGAGCTCAGCCAAACAGTTTCAACTCCACCAAAACTGGGAGTGGAATTGGGTGGAGCTCTCTCACAAAATGTACTAGAGTTGTGGAGCTGGGTTTAGGCAGCTCCACAACTCTACTCTAGACTCAACTTCTGGAGTTATATTTAGAACTTAGAGCTGTAACAAACATGCCCGTAGTATATGCATGCATTGAGAGAATAATATATCATTTTTCCCCCTGGAAAATGAAAAAGAATGAAATGCAAAAAAAAAAGGGCGCAGCAGCAGATTGCTGAAGTCTACTGCTACCTTCGTCCCAGAACGTACATAGCAACCTAGGACAATACCCAGATATATTGTCTTAGAATGGGAATAGGTTGTTACATTCTGGACGGAGGGAGTAGTTTGCAAACACACCACCTTAGTCATCATGCGAAACAGTGTCACGTTATTAATATGCTATAATTAATCGGCCAACTTATTCGGCTACTCTGGATTAATAGTTCTTACAAATTACAATATGCATCTAAGGATACTCTACATCTTATTTTTAAGATGCTGTTTAGACTTCAGCGCAACATAAGATGCTTATTAATCAATTCAATTAAAAGCCTCCTGACTTGTCCTTAGTGCTTACTTCCTTGAAAGCGGCCCATTTGGGAAAAACAGCGCTTGAAACCCTATAAGAAATCTAGTATTTGAGAACAAAAGGCAAGTTTCAGAAACAAAATCTAGAAAAGAAACGAGTTATAGCCTTACTTTTTGTGTTGTTTTCTACTTGTCATTTAGGACATCACCATGATTTACAATAAACAACTTCAGCTATTTCTTTTCTAACCATAGAAGCCACTGGTATAATAATAGTAAAATAACGATTTTTATGTGCGGTTGAAAGCGATTTTCGCGTGCGGATCTTTCAACCGTCTGTAACGAAGTATCTGTAAAAATCGCTATTGTTGCGTACAGGTGGCGCATCTGGACGCAAAAATCTACGGGGTGGCTATGTCACCCGCACGCAAAAATAAAAAACCGAAAAAAATCCAAAAAAACAAAACCCTAACCCTAAAGTTGACGCCACTACCCTCCTCGCGGTCGTCATCATCATTGCCGTCGCGGTCTCCATCGTCGCCGTCGCGGTAGCCGGATCCGCCGCCTCCCCACCGTCCAAGCCCGCCCGCCCGCCGGATCCAGGCGGGGGACGGCCGCTGCCACCAGATCCGGGAAAGGGGTAGCCGCCTCCGCCGGATCCGAGCGGGTGGCGGTCGTCCGCTCCTGGTCGCCAGCCGCCGAGCGCACGCTGCCGAGCCCGCCGCCAAGCCGCACGGTGCCGACGACCGCGCCCGCTGCCGAGTCGTGCGGTGCCGCTGACCGCGCCTGTCGCTGAGCTGCATGATGCCGTTGGCCACGTCCATCCTCGAGCCGCGACTGAGTGAGAGAGTGAGAGAGAGGAGACAGTGTGGGAGTGAGAGAGAGGTGAGAGAGTGAGAGAGGATAAGGATCATGATGGGTGGATAAGGATGAAATTTTAAAGTGTTGAGGAGAGAAAAAAGGAGTAAGGATAGACTTGTAGGTAGGCCTTTAAGAGGCCCGCACGCGAAAATCGATTTTCGCGTGCAGACCTCTTAAGGGTCCGCACGTGAAAATGGGAGGCTGATTTTTGCGGGCGGACGTGAAAACGGTCCGTCTGTAATCTAAATAGCTCCTCGTCCAGGAAAATCGTTTTTTAACTAGTGTATATGAAGTTCTTTTACTTGTCATTCATAAAAATTGATGATATAATAAGATGTTCATGAAAGATCTATTAATGTCATTTTCACATGACAATTAGGAATATGAAATGCTGAAGCTATGAAATGATACATCTGAAAATGTTAAATAAATAAAAAGGTACATTAATCCCCTGTTTTATTTATCGCCTCGTAACCAATCTTTTACTTGTGTGCCCATGGCTTCTTACACAAGGGTTTTCATATTAATGCATTACATGTTTTTATTTTGTTATCTCTATTTGCTGCCTTTTTTTTCCTAGTTCTTTTAAGTGACTCATCTACTCTCTCGAGCTAGAGCTTTCACAAAATCCCAGCCATATTTTTTTTACGATTTTTCCTAAATAAAAACCTATCGCCTTCTTCCACAAATACATCCACGAAAGAGGGAAAGTAGTAACAAGACATAGTTATCCTTTCTATGTTAATATCCATGCTATCTATGTAAATGCTAGATTTTTTATTTTTATAATACTCATAAAGTTTTCTGATACTCCAAGTAAATATACACACTAGAAAATATTGCTTTTTATAATATTATTTTTCTTATTTTCAGAGAGTTATTTTGATACTAAAATAATAAAAAAAACATGTTTCTTTCCTTAATATAGTGTAGTAATAGATACCATTTTCCTTAATAATTAAGATAGATATAAATGAACTTTACCACCCATGAGAAAGCAACATTAACACTCGGATAAATAGAAACAATATGACAAATTTGGTATACCATTAAAAAGTAGCAATTGCGATCTTACTGCTACTTTAAACTCCAATGGTGATTCCACCACTACTTTTTCTAACTTTGTGATTTTGCCGTCTCTGTTTTTTTAACTAATGCTTGAGCTTTATCCCCATTTTGTTGTCTCCTCTTAACAATGTCCAAAATCATATAAAAACAGGGGCAAAATTCATTTGAAGATTGTGTTTGCCCTCATCTTTTCAAATCGAATATGTGAAAATTCAAGTGAAAACCGGGCAAAAATTCATGTCAAAATGCTTGATGTCAAACCAAGGGCAAAATCACAAAAATATTAAGAAAAGTATGTGCAAATCTGCAAGAGCATACGTTCCTTTGACACCGTTAAGATGACACGGAATGGGGGCAAGCACAAGCTTCAGTTCAAAAAAATGAGGGCAAAATCACAAAGTTAGAAAAGCAGGGGTAAAATCATCATTTGAGTTGAAAATAAGGGGGATAATGCAGTTGCCTCTCTATAAAAACCTTTTTTTTCTTCTAATTTATCTTTGAACTGACGTGCTCTCTATCTTCAAATATACCTAAAGAACATATCATGGTTTTATGAGTTTGTTGCCATTTTTTTAATATTTATTCATGGACCGATGTGCTTTTGATATTAAAATATGCCTAACTTGTGACAAGTGACAAGTCTACGATAATATGTCAAGCTAGAGTTTTTTTTTTGTACTCAATGATGTCTAATTTGGCTAACGGTCATCGTTGGCAGGACAGAACAACAAAGATATGACACTAAGATTTTCAATGGCTGAGTTGAGGTTACTCACCTTCAAAGTTGAGCATCTACTGGAGGAGTTGAGATGGGAGGCTCAGCACAACAAGGCTTTGGTTGACGGGCACAGGAACAGGATGATGCGCAACATGTATATTCCATTAGTTCTTCCTCGAAGCATGAAGAGGAAGCTTAAAATGATCACCGGCCAACTTAATGCACTAGGTGCAGAGATCAATGGCTTCATCAACCACGTGCCATTGGTAATGCAAAATAATATTGTGGGAAGGGTGCATGAGAAGCAAGAGATAAAGCAAAAACTATTCTGTCTGGACAGATACAAGCATGAAGGCCTCAAGGTCCTATGTGTAGTTGGCATTGAAGGAGTGGGAAAAACTGCCTTGGTTCAATTAATCTTTGATGAAGTCAATGTGAAGGAATATTTCTCATTGTGCATATGGGTGAATGTATCTCGCCAATTTGATGCAATGAGAATCACAAAACGGATTATTGAGGTTGCAACCTGTGAGCCATTGGAGACACAAATGGATCACAAGGAAGAGAAGGAGTTGCAATCCTACCTCCAGAACATTTTACATGAAAGAAGGTTTTTGCTCGTCTTAGATGATGTTTGTGATGAGAACACCAATGGCTGGGAAGAACTCAGAACCTCACTGGCATCTGGAGCATCAGGGAGCACGGTCATTGTGACGACCCGTGAACTTTGTGTTGCAAGAACCTTAGAAGCACCTGCATCTGGCATCATTGAGCTGGGACCAATGAGTGATGATGAGATATGGTCCATAATGAGGCAGCGAATGTTATGTGGCCTAGATGACAAACCCGAGCTCATCCAGGTTGGTCAATCCCTCGTGCAAAAGTGTCATGGAATTCCTCTAGCTGCTGTAACACTCGGGGATTTGCTGAGAAAGAAGGGAACCTCTAATGAATGGTCTAGTGTCATAGAAGCTGCCAATGAATGGTTGGCTCTTGCAGAAAGCGATATGCTGACCACGACGGCAGGTGTAGCCTCGGTCGCACTTCAGATGAGCTATGAGCACTTGCAACCAGACACCAAGAGGTGCTTTGCATTCTGTGCTTTATTTCCTGAAGCTTTTGAAGTGGATGGTGATATGCTGATCCAGCTGTGGATGGCTAATGATATGGTATGGTACGATACTGAAGGTATGGGGGCTTGGATGTTAGATAGGCTACAGTCAAGATCATTTCTTCAAGATGTCAGTCAACCTTACAATGGAGTAACAATCTATAAGATGCACCCTCTTGTTCATGGCATAGCAACGTCAGCTGCTGGAAAAGAGATCCGAATCCTACATCAAGGCCACCAACTTACAGAAGTGATGCCAGAGCTCCATCACTTGTCAGTGGTTGGTTCAGGGTTAGATGTTGATATGATTCTACCCAATGCATGGGGTATCCACACACTGTTGTCACAAGGAGAAGGATGTCGAATAAGTGTGTCTAATCCTGATTTTTGGAAATCCAACTCCTTGAGAGCGTTAGACCTGCATGGTCTCTTGTCCGCCAGTGTTCCATTTAGTTGCCAAGATATGAAGCATCTCAGGTACCTTGATCTGTCAAGAAGTTGGATAACGTCGCTTCCAGAGGACTTTTTCATGATCTATAACCTGCAAACTCTGAGGCTCTCCGATTGTTTTTACCTAAAGCAACTTCCAGAAAACATGAGGTTTATGGAGAATTTAAGGCACATTTATATCGATGGCTGCTTCCGATTAGAAAACATGCCGTCAAATATGGGACAATTGCAGAACCTTCAAACACTGACAACTTACATAGTGGGCAATGGTGATGGGTATGGAATTGAAGAGATCAAGAGCATGGATCTCGGTGGGCGGCTTGAAATATATAATCTGAAGAACGTGAGGGACAAATCAAAAGCCGAGGCCGCAAATTTATCTCTAAAAACAAGAATGTCCAATATGTTGTTGTGTTGGGGTATGTTTAGGAATGACGAGGTAAATGCATACAATGCCGAGGAAGTGATGGAGGCTCTTAGAACCCCTATGTGTGTACAGACACTCAAGGTTTGGCGATACCCTGGTAGCATACTTCCAATTTGGTGGCCAGGTCAAACTCTTGCTAATCTGGTTAAACTAACCATCAAAGATTGCGCAAGATGTAAGAGGCTTCCTCCTGTGCAGTATTTTCCATCACTTGAGGTCCTACATCTTGAAGGAATGGACAGTCTCACACTTTTTTGCGACAATGTATCGATGGACAACATTGAGGTCAGCTATTATCGATTCTTCTGGAGGTTGAAGAGTCTTATCCTGTGTGATATGCCAAGCTTGGAAAAGTGGCAAGAAGATGAGGTGATAGAAGTATTCACAATTCCAGTGCTTGAAGAAATGAAATTGATCAACTGTCCAAAGTTGGTGACAATTCCAAATGTTCCTATGCTCAGATGTTTTATTGTAGAAGGGCAAAACAAACAACAGTTATATTCTCTGGCACCATCGTCGTCCAAAAGTAAAGGTCCATCGTGCAGGTTAGATTAGCCTTAGGCTCCCATTTTGTAAGAAAAGTAAGTACACTATCCAAAGTAGCATTTGGAGAAACTATTTTACGTTGGGGTCATGTATACTGTAATTAGAACTACTTTCTTAGCTGGACACTGTGAAGAAGCCCAATAAGATTGGATCTTTCTTACAATACTAAGAGAATTTTTTTTTATCTAAGTGCAAATGCATTGACATGGATAAATAGAGGAAATTTCGAAGTCAGAAAGAAATGACTGAAGACAAGCTATGATGTTAATAAAGCGTTATGATCAACATTCTTATTCTATTCACGACAACCATTACACCAAATCTTAGCTTGGTGTAGATCATACACGTATTGTGTACTGCTACTTTTATTTCTTTTATTTCAAAAGAAGGCGCCCAACCTTGCTACGTACTCTACCTATGAGAATTAAGCTACACATATACCCATATAGTTTAGCATTTTTATCCTTTTTATCCACCCAAAAAAACTCGTTACATATGTCGTCAATATTGTGGTGGTGTTTGAATCTCAAGATGAAGATGAAGATAAAAATTAAGTGTTTTACACAAAACGAAGTGGTAATAACATGTGATTAATTAAGTTTTAATTATTACAAACTTAAAAAATGGATTGATATTATATTTTACAACAATTTTCATATAGAAAGTTTTCGCACAAAATACACTGTTTAGCAGTTTGAAAAGCGTGCCACGAGTATCCAAAACTTTATCCAACTTCTATTGGAGAAAGAACATGGCTGTATGGAGGAACCAAATCCTCTTATTTACTGTCCTTTGATTTTGAGTTTGATTCGAGTGGTTTACATGTAAGCTTCATAGTTCACAGGTCCACATATCAGCGCAGCTTCTTTGTGTATGGAGTGTACAGTGAAGAAGCCAGAACCCAAAACGGAGCAAACGAAAATCCGATGGAGAGAACATGATTTTCTTATAAAAAAAAAGAAAAAAGCTAAAGCCACGGAGATAGCGGGTAGCGGCGTCGATGCGGACTTTGCAGGAACGGCGAAGAATCCGGACTCATCTTTTCGCTTATAAAAATTTTATTTACAAGTTATCTATTCTTTGCAAATATACCGTATAGCTTATACCCGAAATGATAGGGCTGGAGATGGCTACAGGCGGCCTGGAAGTCGAGGGCGGGGCGGGGCGTGCCGTTGGTGTGAGTGGGGAACTGAACACAGCGGCAAGCCATGTGCAGCGGCGCACATCCACACTGTTGGAAATTTGGTCATAATTCGGTATATTTTAATCAAAATTTGGTCATAATTCGGCATATTTTAATCGAAATTTGGTCATAATGCAGCATATTTTAATCCAAAATATTAAGACAATAAATATGACATTTGTAATTTGAGTAGATCTAGTGACAGTGCTAGATGTGTACAACATGAGCATGCTTAATATAGAATAAGCATTAACATAGACAAGAGAACGCAATAATATTGTGACTGACAGTTGTAGGAAACGAAGAACAAACAGTAATTGTGAAACATTATACCTCGAGAATGGCCCTTCACTGGAGTTTGAGGCAGTATTGCCTCCGTTGGTGTTGACGGGAGGCTCCCCAAGTCTCCAGTGTTGTTGTTGTCGCTGGTTGTCAACATATTGGTGAAGATGATGCGGAGCAGTTGCGCTTGAAGCGTTACCCAAAAACTTGATCGCCCGCCTACCCGTGCAGGTTCTCAAGCGGACGGAGTTTCGGAGGCACCTGCTCGTTTCGATCACCCGTGCGCGCGGGATGAACAGAACTGGGGAAATAGAGAGACATCGCAGGAACAGAAGGAGAGTATCACCAAGGAACAATAGCAGGAGGAAGACATGTTCTTTGAGAGCCTTTGCCTTGCATTATATATAGAGAAAGATCTCCATTACCACACAAATAAATCTCATTTGTTGTGAAGGTTACCACAAAATAAATCTCATTTGTCGTGAAGGTTACATCACAATGAATCTCTCATTTGTTAATGGTGACTTTATTCTCGTCTGTTACATAACGAAAGAGCAGCAAGCAGGCTCAGCTTCAGTCGGCCGCCTCGCCTCGCCATGCCCACGGCCGAGGCCGAATCGGCGCGCGCGCGCGTGTGGCAGTACAACCATCACCTCAACCGGTCAACAAGGAATCTCTAATATCACCCTATTTAAGTTGAGATTCTTCCACCTAGATTTGCAAGACAGTATTGTTGTCTCTAACATTACTTATGGGCTCTTGAGATTTTAATTGAGTTAAATTGGGCCTGGGCCATTTATTCCAACCCACACTGCCGTCCTGTGGACCGCGTCCAGGACGCACCGATCGGTGAGGTGATTCAAGCGTGTGGTCTCCATAGACCAAGCTCACCAACGCCCACCTCCCCTCTTCCTCTACCACCGGGCAGCTTCACCTACCTCCCCGTCCCCGGCCACCGCCACCGAGACGTGGACATGAATCAAATCAAATCAAATCCCCAAATCAAAGTTAACCAAAATTCCGTGGCAGAGGTCTCCCTCCCCTCCTCTTCTTGGAGTCGTCTCCTCGCGCAAGCCGCATCCCCTCCCCACAACTGGACCAGGTTCGGATCAACCCTCCAGCTCAATCCTATCCTCTCCCTCTCCCCTTTGAATGAAACCATCGATGCATACTTGCATATACTCTTGTCTGCTCTTCTGTTCATCCCAAGAAAACAGGCGGTTCTAATTTCTTCCAGTACAGTTGTTAGTTGTTTCCTGCTCTCTAGGGATGCAAGAAACTGATCTTTACTGTGTGTTTTTTTTTCTTTACTAAACCAACAGGGGAACTTGCCAATTACTATATTTCAATAGGAAACTGATCTTTAATTAATTGATTGATCAATTGATACTTTGATAGTTACTACCTTTCTGTGTTTCATAGTTCTCCTTTATACTAGGCATAGCAGAGAACAGGCGCTGTTTCTTGCTATTTATGCTGATGCCATGCCACAAGACATTTTCTTCCAAAGACTGATGATCATCGATTTATCATTGATATTGCCAACCGGTTGGCTAGATTAATACATTGGTGAGAAAAATTAGAGCAAGTGAGCAAAGATAGGAGAAGATGAACTACCATTTTCATTTTCTACAAGCCATGTTAATCCCCAATTCTGCACCTAAGTCAATTTTCAGTTATTTTAAATTTATTTTTCCTTTTTATTTGTTTTCTAAAACCAATTTTGCTTTTTGTTTGTTTGGCGTAGAGCTTAGTGATAACAAAACCATGGAGTCATAATCACAGTTTGTACAGCCTTTTTTTTTTGCAGAGGAAACTTTCAGCCAATTTCTATTTTCAAAGAAAGGAAGGAACCCTGTTATAGATTAGAGAGAATCCCTTATATGCCACTCCAAATTAACCGGCTCCCTTATATACCACTTCAAATTGGCTTCTCCTTTTTATGCCACCGGTTCAAGTTTCTCATCCCTTTTATGCCATTGCCGCCAGTCCACCGCTAGTTGACCGTTAACTTCATTGTAAAAAGACGCATTTGTCCTTGAGAATTAGTATACAACCAATAATATGTATTTTAGTACTAATATAGCTACTGGATACAATATATGAAAATTGATTTTTTTTTGCATCACATGCAATTTTAGCCATTACCATCACAAATAAATTTTCAATGTAAGCATGAAATATGCAGTTTTCCAATAATATTTTTAATATAAAGAGCATTTTCACTGGTTCTGATAAAATTTTGTTTACTCAAAAAGGATTTAAAATAAATTAGTTATGATTTTTTGAAGTTTACACATTTTTTAGTTGAGAGGGCATATTGGTCATTTACGAAAAAAACTAACCTTTGACTAACAGTCAACTAACACTATAGTGGTGGGAGTGGCATAAAAGGGTGGAAAAACTTAAACTAGTGACATATAAGGGAGAAGCCAATTTTGAGTGGCATATAAGGGAACTGGTCAAATTCTAGTGGCATATAAGGGATTCTCTCTTAAAGATTAATATGTAATAGAATTTAGGTTACAAACACTTGGATAAGCAGCTAGTAGCCATGGCCAAAAACCAAAAGAAAATGCTAGGGCCATTACGAGGCTATGGGAGGACGATATAACATCGAATAATTAAGTCACCAAATTACACCAAACTGTTACATTGCTCACTTCCACTTATCAATGTTCTCGTTAATAAGAATGACACCGCATGGGCCTCAAGCTCCTCATTTTGAAAGGTCCTCATATCATGTTCCTCCCACATATGCCAACTGTATATGAGAACTTCATTGAGATGGTCTTCCACATCCCCAACTCTTTTAATTTTCTGACAGCCACTCTGGTTGGTGATTTTCTCCCACACAGTTGAAGATCAAATGTCTTTGCTGTTTCTAGTTGCAGATCGCATAGCAAATAAACCGTGTTTTGAGGCCATCTGCAGATCACTAGCTTGTGTGTTCGATGAAAAATTCGGATCACTAGCTTGACAGGTGTTAGGATCTTGGCCTGTACCAGCAACCATTCAAAATATTTACTTGTTTTCAGTCCTTGCTTTCCGGATCCATGAGGCGCCTTGATCCGATTTCTGATTAGCTTCTTTGTGAATTATACACATGCAGGATTTACATGGCTTCAAACGCTGGCAAGAAGCTCATTCAGATCGATGTGAGCTCTGATACGGTGTGCCCATGGTGCTTTGTCGGGAAAAAGAACCTCGAGAAAGCTATGGAGCAAAACAAGGACAAGTTTGATTTCGAGGTTTCACTTCTTCAAAATTATTGTTGTCCAACTTCATGGTCATACAGCGTAAAACTAGCGTGTCTTTTTGCTGATTAGGTCCGCTGGCATCCATTCTTTTTAAATCCGAATGCACCTAAGGAAGGCATCAAGAAATCTGATTACTACCGGATGAAGTTTGGCCCTATTCAGTTTGAGCATGCAACTGCTCGTATGACAGAGGTTAATACATTTGAACAATGCAAAGGCAGAGTTTGTTCACATCATATATATCATATTCAGCCTTTTATTTGCTCTTTTTGCAGATATTTAGAGGACTTGGGATGGAATATGACATGTCTGGGTTGACGTAAGCTATAGTCTTGAATTTTTTTTTAGCATGCATCATTGGCTAGTTCGCTGATACAAATACTTAATACAGTGGAAATACAATGGACAGCCATAGGCTCATAACTCTTGCTGGGCACCAAGGTTATGACAAACAAAGTGCTCTTGTTGAAGAATTATTCCAAAGTTACTTTTGCCATGGAAAGTTTATTGGTGATCGGTGAGTATGTATTCAAGATTGTAGGAATGGATTTATAATCTTATTGCACTTTATTTTTCTTTGTCAATTCTGCATATTCGGTCATATATATTTGTGACAAACTATTATTGATTTAGAACATGTCAGAAATGGGACAACATGAGAAATCACATAAATCAGCCATACTTAATCGTTTTTCTATGTATGAGGCTTTCAGCAAGATGCATAATACATCTTTCCTGTTGGTAGTGGTACATTGAAGGGCGTGCATTTTTCTTTTCTGTGCTATATTACTCCTTGAGACAAACTCGTAATAAACATACTCATTTTATGTTGCTAAAATGAAGAATGACTGATGAAATTCCGAAAAGGAATATGTCAGACCTTTTCATATTGGAATCGTTATCTAGATTATCACATTCTACTATGGATGCGAGTTATTTAGAATGTTAAACCAAAGCAGATAGCACGTTGTGCATTTTCCATTGTTACATGTGCTGCTTCAGTATTGGCAAATGAAAATAACCAACCAATTTCTTTGTTCTGGTGCGTAAGGGTTGTGAATAGTTTCTCAGCATTTACTATACTGCTGAAGTTTTTTCCTAGATGTCCCTTTTTAGGCACCTTTTCTTTATGCAAAGTTGCAGTCAGAAATGATTCCATGCTATCTATCAATGATAAATTTTTGTAGGAGTTTTGATGTTTGGGCAAGAAAAGTACCCTTTATCTTCTTGATTTGCTTCAGCAAACATGTCCACCTGCCAACTTAGCTACCCATCCTGCTTCCCTATATATATTTTTATGTTGACAATAAGTGATTTTATACAATATTATTCAATCTTGTGAATAATTTCCAAATGCTTGAAGGCAAGTTCTGCTGGATGCTGCAAGAAAGGTGGGCATAGAAGGAGCAGAAGAACTTCTTCAAGATTCTAACAAAGGAGTCGATGAGGTACATTTCCACCGATGTTCACTTCTAGTGACCATCTTTTTGTGACAGATGCAATCGAATCAAATATCCTAACATTTCTTTTGGGGATAAAAGGTCAAGGAAGAACTCAACAAATATTCCTCTGGAATTTCTGGTGTTCCTCACTTTGTGGTATGAGGACTAATTAAATGATCATATCTATCATCTCTTGCACTTTTTATCTTATCACTTGGTCAGTGACTGGATACTTGTCCATGATAATTCAAACTACTGTGTTTTTTTTTCTTTACTTTCCAGATAAATGGGAAATTTCAGCTCAGCGGCGGCCAGCCTCCAAATGCATTCACAAGGGCTTTTGATGTTGCTGCAAAAGATGGGGCTCAATGATTGTGCGTGTGGGAAACACTTATAGGTTACTTAAAGCATGTGCAAAATAGAATAAAAGCTGGTTTGCAGGAAAGAATAAGAGTTGCTGATATATGGTTGCTACACGGTAGGTACTTGAATCTATTGTAATCTGATGATGATAATATTCTACATTTTTAACAGCTGTATATAGCCATGAAAAATTGAGAACGCTGTGAAGAAAATACATGTCCTAAGTGTATGCACGCACCGGCTTTTTTTTTTTTGGCTCCTGTGAAAATTACGGCTGCTCCAGTTGCACCTTGCCCTTGCTGTAAAAGTAAAAGGTCTCATCTTTCTTGCTTCTGTAAAAGGTCTCATCTTTGCTCTTCTGTAATAATTTCGACCAAGGTATCTGACCTTGTGTTGTTGTTGTTGTTGTTGATAAGTTGAATTGGTTATGGTAGAAAGTTGTAACTGCAAGAGGATATGTAAAGAGTTGGACCATTTTTGACTTGCCCAACTTAAAACTATCCTAACTTGACTGCTGCTGCACAACACCATCATGTTGGGCTGGGCAACCAAAACGACCAACCAAATGGCCCAAGAAGCCCCAAAGGCCCTATAAGCGCCAGAGGAGCAGCAACGCACTGTGCGTCTGTGCCCCCTTTTTTTTTCTCTTCTGAGAAACGTAGCACTTTGTCCTGAACACCGATTTTCTCCCGAGTTCTCCCCCTGTGTTTTAGCTGTGGTTTTATAAAGACATGTTGCCGAAACATAGAAATGCAAATTTAGTGGCTAACTATTAAGAGCTCATTTGGAATGTAGAGTAAAAAAACACATGAATAGAAAGAACACATAAGAATAGGTTAGAAATGCACTAGATAAACCATAGGAAAAACATAGGAAGCAACGGTACATGCAAAGTTGATTAGAGAGTTAGCTTCTTATCTCTAAATAACAGTACTAAATAATAAAAAGTAGAAAAGCTTGATGATGCTTAATCCTTGCATTAGTGGCATCAAGACTTCATTTGCCTCGATCCTATGCAATGGGAACAGAAAAAGATGTTGCACTCGATTTTTTTTCACGCAGTTTTCTACCAAATTAGCATGGTAGGAAAGTTTCCTCCCTTTTTCTTGAATGGATGAACAATACCGGTTCCTATAGGAACTGAATCGAGCTAGCTCGATATCCACCTCTATATATGACTCAATCATCTCTGCCTCGCACCCTAGTTGTCGTCATCACTTTCATTTGTCGCCCACCCATTCATAGCAGCGCCAACACCAGATGATCCCCTTCTCTAGTCACCAGTTCGCTCTTCTTGGCTGTCCGTAGCAGTGCCAACACCATTAATCCTAGCCTGTTGCCAAATGGTTAAGTCCTTGCTTAGCCATGGCAGTGCTAGCACTAGTGACCCCTAGTTCACCGTTGCCCGCCCAAATGCTAGCTCCTTGGATCCGTTTCTAACTCTCCTCCTCCAGTTGCCATCCCCTTCACCGATTGCTGAGCAGTCATATTGACGAGCTCCGACGCCTCGTTTGACTCCATGCTCCAATGAAAAATTGACGAGCTTTGGCACCATCACAAAAGTCCTCGTTGACTAGCTCTGGTGCTATGGAGCCTGCCGTTTTTATGAGGTCCAGCCAACGCCAATGTGTTGCCAGCTTGAGTTAGCAAACAGATCAAGTCGACCCAACCTTTTATCTCGTTAGAATAACAACCCAAGCTAAGCTAGCTCAATATCCACCATGTATACGATTAAAAGGCTTAAATTTAGGAGATGAATTGTTGGAGTGATCAAGCAATTTTTATGTGAACAACAAGGTGTTCTGAATTTATTAATATATTGATTGTCTATTTCATTTTATTGCTGTTCCAACACATTCTATTACTCATACTAATTTCGTGGTTAGTCTTTTCACTGGAAATTATATGATGCTTTGGATAAGATCATATCAATATGTATCAATGAATTTTAATAAAATAATTAGTTTGAAAACATAAAAATGATATTCTTAGATGTAACTTCCGAAGTAATTTTATACACTTATATAATTTGGGGTCAAAGTTGTATCTCCAAGACCGTAATAAATAATAAAGAATAATAACAAACTACTAGTATCATTTATTTTTTTAGAGAGAATCTATTCTATACCACTGAGTTTGTTCGAGTTCAACGATTTGCCATCGACATTATCTCTTTCTATAATATACCAGCGACTTTATCAATTGTTCTACAATATGTCATTGGGTTGGGCCTTATTTTCAAAAATACCCAAAATACCTTTGAGACATACAAGATTAACAATTAATTTATCTCATCAGAAGTTTCAAAAAATATGAAAATTTTTATGTGTCCTCTTTACACAACATGCAATTTTGTATACATGTTTCAATTTTTTTCTGGTATATTTAGTTTTTAGAAAAAATATTTTTATGTGGTGTATGCAAAATAATTTTTTTATAGAAGAAATAATAGCAAAAAATTATCTTATATAGTGTATGAAAGATGATTTATATTAAAAACAACAATAAAAAAGTATTTTATGTATCATATAACAAATAAGTTATATATTTTTCTAAAAAAATAAAAAAAATTGAAACTTGTATATAAATATCCATGTTGTGTAAGGATGCCACATAAAAGTTTTTATTTTTTTTTTTGAAACTTCTAATAAGATAAATCAATTGTTAACCTTGTTTGTGTATAAGGGTATTTTGGGTACTTTTTAAAACAAGTCCCAGCCTAATAGCGTATTGTATAACAATTGATAAATTCACCAGTATATTATAGAAAGTGATAATGTTGATGGCAAATCATGAACTCGAACCAACTCAGTGGAATAAATAGAATAGATTCTCTATTTTTTTAATCAGGCTGAGAAAGAGCAGCAGGCTGGCTCCTGGGCTGAGTCTTGTGCGGCACCACTGCACTTAATAAGGCCCAAGCCAAGCCCATCATCAGTAACCCATCCATTCCTTCCCCGGGCAACATCCAACCGCACGAGAAAAACCCTAGCCCCATCTGACGGCCACCGCGCCCCCGCCTCCTTCTATATAGCCTCTCGCCACGCGCCTCCGCACGAACCCTAGTCTCCTCTCCCGCTCCACCTCCCCGCCGCCGCCTCTCGCCGCTCGCCGCCGCCGCCGCCGCCGCCATGGGTGAGCTCCTCCTCCGACGCCGCCTCCCTCCATCACTCTCGTCTCCAGTTTCCCACCCCTCCACCTCCATCTCTCTCCTGATCCGTCCTCCGTCGTTTTGCTGTGCACAGGTGCGTACAAGTACGTGTCGGAGCTATGGAGGAGGAAGCAGTCGGACGTGATGAGGTTCGTGCAGCGCGTGCGGTGCTGGGAGTACAGGCAGCAGCCGGCCATCGTCCGCCTCACCCGCCCCACCCGCCCCGACAAGGCCCGCCGCCTCGGCTACAAGGCCAAGCAGGTTACCTCCCCTCCTCCAGATGTTCTCTTGTGCCCGCGGTTGATGATGGTGTTAATGTTTGAAGTATTGATCTGTCCTGTAGAAATGGAGGCTTACTTTTTTGTCTAGATCTAGACTCTGCTAGGTTATCGTTCTGCTGATTTAGGTTCAACGACTGTGCTGTTGATTTGTTGGAACCTGTTACTGCCATTTGTTAACTGTTAGTAGAACATTGAGTTAATCTGTTTTTAGTGCTTTCTTGGACAGTATCACTTGTCTTGTGTTCTCCATTAGATTCGATTGGATGGTAGATGCTTGCCATTGTAGTATCATCCCTTGAGACCTTTTCTTGTAATTGGCATAGGTAATGTTGTTTGGTGCGTTACTTACTGCAAAAGCAGTTTGCTGCCGTAGTTGAACTTAAATTGCATTGTTTGTCATTGATACTCTGAGCAAAATTTTGTACGGGTGCTCCCATTTATTTACCAATTTATATAATCACATTTGAATATTTTGTCCTGTAATCAAAATATTGTGCTTAACTATTTGTCGTTACCTTTCCTCAGGGTTATGTGGTTTACCGTGTCCGTGTGAGGCGTGGTGGCAGGAAGAGGCCAGTGCCCAAGGGTATTGTCTACGGCAAGCCCAAGCACCAGGGTATCACCCAGCTCAAGTTCCAGAGGAACAAGAGGTCAGTTGCTGAGGAGAGAGCTGGGCGCAAGTTGGGCGGACTCAGGGTGCTCAACTCCTACTGGGTGAACGAGGTACATTTCACTTTACTGAGATCTTTCAAAGATGATTATCAACAATGTATCTGCCTTCCATTAATGACTTGGTTTTCTTTGGTTTAATGCAGGACTCCACCTACAAGTACTTTGAGATCATCCTTGTGGATGTTGCTCACAGTGCTATCCGCAATGACCCAAGGATCAACTGGCTCTGCAAGCCTGTGCACAAGCACCGTGAGCTCCGTGGTCTCACCTCTGCTGGCAAGAAGTACCGTGGTCTGCGCGGCAAGGGTCACACTCACCACAAGGCCAGGCCGTCCCGCAGGGCTACCTGGAAGCGCAACCAGACTGTCTCTCTTCGCCGTTATCGTTAAGCCTATGTGCTTTGATGTTACGTTACTGTGGAATCCAACCCTTGCAGACTTTGATAATATCTGTTTGCACTTTTAAAATTTTGGTACTTGTGTTCTGAAACCAGTGAACTATCTTCTAGAAGCAATGTTGCTGTTCTCTATTTGCCTGTGATGAGATGAAGAAATGATTCAGTTATCGAATGCTCTGTGAGCTGGTTATGATTAGTTTTTAAGTATATCTCCTAAATGATAGTCTCCTGAGTTATCTATTTCATTGTGTTTATAAATCTGCTAGTCAATCTGACTGCGAGCTTCAATGTGTTATTAGTAGTAATGTTGGTGTTAACTATATTACTACATGCTTACATTTTCAAACTAACCTAATTACTGAAAATTATTAAAGTATTATTAACTATCTTACTGAATGCTGTTGTACATTTTCAAATAGTTCTAATCAGGGTTCACAATCCTCTGCATTAGATTTCGTGGAATCTGTTGATAAGCTGATAGAATCTAATTAAATTTTGAAAATTTAAAATTCAGTTTGAACCTAGTGGTTTTTGTATTTAACCTGGTCTGAAGAGGTTGAATTTTACGAAATCTGAACCGAATTCTAATGGACTTGCGAACACTTACCTAATTACGGAAAATTGTCGGTATATGAATGGTGATGCAATGATTTGTGTGCCGATTTACATTCCTAGCTCAAAAATAAAAAATCACCCCTCTTCTGTGCAACTGAAGAACTAAAGAATAGATGGTGCGATGCTCTATTTGCATAAATCTGCCATCGTAATTGACAGCTATGCCTTTGCTCACAGATTGCCGGTGATGAAATAGTAAAATTCAAAGTTCAGCAGAGTCCTATAAAGTTCCAAGAGTATCCGTTCGAGTACAATACAACAAGAAAGTAACGAAATATTAAGGACTTGGAAGCATCACATGTGTGGTGATGGACGATTTCACCAATCATGGACCAAAGGTTTAGGCATGCGGCTAATAAAAAAATGTTGCTATTGGGCTGAGCTTTCTAGAAATAATTATATAGGATTTTAGACTATAGCTCCAAATCCGGATAAGTTTTTCATTGGTTGCCTTTTTGGAACCTTTTGAATACCACAAATGTTTGAAGGCATTTTGAAATCCAGTTTGGTATAATCTACAAAATTTGAAGTGAAAAGTGGTAGTAACATAGCAGGAAATTTTTCTTTGCAATTTATTCTTTATTTGAGACATTTTAAAACAGTTCCTGACCAGTTTTCCGCATGAAAGCTCAAAATATTCCCTTTTTTTTTTGGCTAAATTAACAACACTCGAGCTTACAATGACGAAAATTAGTACTCCTATTTGTTGTGGTTGCAACAATACAATTATTCCTCCTTTTTCTTTTGAGAGAGAGCAAGCAGGATTATTCCTCCTTTTTCTTTTGAGAGAGAGCAAGCAGGCGTGATATAGTTTTGTAATGAAAAATGCAGGAATATTAGATAGGTCCACAAAGTAGGAATAGTAGAAATGTTCATTGGACTTAACTCAGTCATGGCAAGAACGGGCCTCGTCTTTTCGTTTATGCTTATACTTGTTAGACAAAATTTAAATTTTCAACCTTAAATTTGAAGCTAATTTTAACGTTTTTTTATTGAAGTTTATTTTTCAGCCTTTGCTTTTAGATCGCTAAGAATACGTATATAAAAGTTTTATTCACAAATATTTTTCGTTTGCAAATATGCTGTTTGGCTTATTACGATGGGACCTGAAGAATGCAAAGAATCTCTCGTCATCTCAAACAGGAAGCACAAGTTCAGATGCTAGGGCTTTCAGAAGTTTCGTATTTCAGCATCAGAAGCAAATGCAATCACTCAAACGCGCATCTGTAACATCCAATCGAAATGTGATATGTGGATTGACACAAGCTACCAATTTTTTCTGAAAAATGAGAAAAGAATTATATGCTCTACAGAAACAAAAAAATAATAAAAAATCTTTGCGCCGCTGGAAGTTTCAGCAAACAATCTAGCGACTTTGATTTTCGTCAAGCTATGTACACAAATCTAGGTGATCCAGTCCCCGTGAGTCTCCACTCTCCAACATCACAGAAACGTTGCAGCATTATGATCATGAATCCTCATGGAACAGCATTACCTGTAGTGAGAAAGGTATCATTAATGTCGATGGAGTCAAGCTAAACGCTTCACTTCTGAGGTGAAGTTAAAAGTGAAGTAGAAGCAAGTACCTTTGAGCAGACTGGGCAAGCTTGACTTCTCTCCATCCACTCATAAATACAACAAAGATGGAAATTGTGGTTGCATTGTAATGTCATCTTTGGATTCTCATAATCATACTCTGCGAGAAAAAAAAAGATCTTTACGACACAAGCACCAAAATCATGCAAGCAAATAGACCTGAGCATGATTTAGCTTTCTTTTATTTTTTTTGACGGAAATTTAGCTTTCTTTTATGATGGCACTGACATTATGGCAGCAGAGTGGTCACAATGTAGTGATCCACCACAATTGAGCATTGTTCATTAGCTAGAATTATACAACATGAACACTGTTCATTAGCTAGAATTATACAACATGAACACGTATCTTCTGCTACAGCATAACAATGTTTGAATGCTCCCCCCTTTCTCTTGCTGTTAATATTTTGCATTATAGAAATTTAAATAGTAAACACTATCTGCTGAGAAAAAGATAAGATAGTGTATGTATGAACAAAAGAGTAGTGGTACTGTTTTCACTAACCTTCTAGGCATATTGGACAGTCGTCCTCAAAGTCGAAAAGATCATGTACTTGCTCTTTGCCAATGTGCAGACCATCTGAATGGTGTTTTACTGATGATCCATCATCCTTCACAGCTGTGGAAGGCCCATCATCCTTGACAGCTTTGGAATTAGATATGCTATCAGCATTCTTGCTTTCTCCAAGGCTACCAGATTTGTGGAACGTTGTTGAAGCTTTGTCATGTCCTCCTACTAGTGGGTGATGCTCTGTATGATGGCTGAATCGAGGATCATCCCAAGGCAAGGGCCTTGGCGGGCAGCGGAAAGTATCCATCGAATCATGCTGTGATGGAGCAGTGAGACTAATTCTTCCTTGATCAGGCGCAACTCGTGTATCCGCTCTTGGACGAGCAATGGAACCCTGTAGAGAAACCATTTAGAACAGAGTGAGTATGGATAGCACATGGTTGAAAGATCAGGCATAGAGAGAAGATCTAAAATAATGAGCAAAGATGACAAAATGATGTGTAGAAATTGCAGGAAAAGTCTAGTGCAGGAATATTTATTTGAGAACATGCAGCATCTTACTTATTCAGTCCCAGTTGACAGTTGTGCAATTCCAGTTTCTAAAAATAGCAGCGAGTTGATACTAGTAGTACTCCATATCCATACAATTTATCGATTGCTGGATTATTAAAGTTAATAGTAATGCACAAAAACTGAGAGAAAGTATCCAACAAAATTAACATGCAAACACACGAATCAACCCTTTCTTTATTCAAAGCCACAATGCAATCACTCTTTCCTTTCCCATACCAATGCAATGCGAACTCTATTCAAACCCACATTTTTTTTACATACTTTGCCAAGCTCATCTCAGCAGCAATGTGACCTCAATAACACCGGGACACAACACCTAACGCGTGCAAGAGTCAAGATCACAAAGCACACATTACCGACACCAGAAACTAATAAAAAAAAACTAAACTCAATCGTGAATCAGCGCCTCATCGTTGCTTACAATCTGAACACAAAATAGAAGCGCAATTTCGCAAAAGTAATAACAAAATAAACAATCAAGAAGCAAAAAAAAAAAAAAGCAGAGGTAGAATCATACCGAGTTGTGGTTGTGGTTGTGAGCGGCGTTGAAGATCGGCCATGGGAGGCGGAAGCAGCAGACGGGGCGGCCGTCGTCGGCCAAGCAGCACAGCACCGACCCCATTTCGATCGCCTCCACCACCACCTCACCTCACCTCGTCGCCGGCGCTAATGAAGAGAGACAGAGAAGAACCCTTGTTTCCGCCGCCCCTGATCGCAATTTATACAAAGAGCAAGAAAACGAAGAGCTCGATCCGAATCCACCACAGATTTCCTTCCTCCGTATCCGCCCCCGAATCTGCGAGATAGCCCGAGTCGCAAACCGAATTTAAAAAGAGAAAAAAAAAACATCGGCGAAGGCGACTAGGCGGCGGCGGCGGCGATGGCCGACCAGTGCTGCTGCTAACGATTGCGACTCGACTCGAGTAAAAACAAGCAAAGATTTGGGAAAAATTTACCGCGAGTTCTTGACCGGGAAAGATCACCTGCGGCGATTGGGTGGCGCGGAGCTAAACTAAAACCCCGCGGGGATCGGCGGGGGCTAGCTAGCTTAGTATAGTGGAAGTCATCGAGAAGTTGGAGGAGGAGAAGGAGAAGGCGAGGGAATCGGAGGAGGATGTTGGTGGGGGTGATCGAGGCCGGATAGAGAGCAGAGTCGGATCGAGAGAGAGATTTCGTTGAGGGAATTGGAGGAGGTTTAGGAGATCGGAGCTCGCACGCAACGCCGACGCATTTGCGGATCGATTTTTTTTTTCTTCTTTTATTTTGTTGCTGTTGCACCCAACAAACAAAAGCGAATCGAGCGCGAGAGAAGAAAAAAAAGGAATAAAGGAAGTTTTTTTTTTTGGTTGAGAACTTTAGTGATAAAGGAAGGGTTGGAATAGAGTAAGGTGAGACAAGAAGGGGAAAAAAAACAAAGCGGTGAAATTTTCTTCGTCTCGAGTTTTACGGCTCCCCGGGGTCTCCGGCGGACTCAAGTGGCGGCGGCGATTCGCCATTGCCGGCGGCCGCATTCTGCGGGGAGGAGGAACTCCTGTGGCTGCTCGCCGGCGGCCTTCTCGCTCTCGCCAACACACGCCGCGGCGTCGGGCGGTGGCGGCGGCGCGCAGGCAGCCAGGCTCGCCTCGCCGCCGCGCGGTGGAAGTGAAGTGAATAGAGTGGCAGTGGTGGTGGTGGTGGGGGCCGGCGGCTGGTGGGCCTAATGTTTCATGGGCCATAGCTGGATTATCTTTTCGTTTTAGGGTTAATTAGTGTGGTGTTTGAATCTTCTGAAGATGAAGATTAAGTGTTTCACGCAAAATGAGATGGTAGTAACGTGTGCTTAATTAAGTTTTAATTATTACAAACTTGAAAAAGGATTAATATGATATTTAAGGACAACTTTCATATAGAAAATTTTCGCACGAAACGCACCGTTTAGCAGTTTGAAAAACGCGCCACTTTAATCTAAAATTTAATCATCCTTTTAAGCAGATTCGAACGGGATCTATGCCATTACAACTTCCTCGATTTTTAAAAAGAAATTATTTCTACTAGCCTATTTGGATGCATATGCTATTATATTTAAATAAAAAGTGAAATATATCACCACTTACCCCTTCTTCAATACATTTATAAAAAAACTTGAATCAAATTATCCCTCATTTTTCGTTCACCCCTTCATCTTTCTCTCTCTCCTGTTTTATCCGGGATTCAAATGAAGCTACGGCAACCGGTGACGTGGTCAGTTGACTGGGATGAGTCCTCACTCCTCAGCGGTACTTTATTGCCATATTACTGTTTTTTTAAAAAAAATCTACCACAACACAAAAACCAAGCTGGAATAACCGGACCAACCGAAAACCAAGAGAATCGACTCTTTTCTGTTGGGTTTGGTTTTTCATTGTACGGTCAATTTATGCTCATCACGGCTAAACCTGCTGAAAAAGTCATGAAAAACGCAATAACAAACAATAGTAACTGATTAAGGATACATAAATGATTAATGATTTATGGGATAACCTTCTGCTAAGCATAATGGAAGTGTGGGTTAAATTGAAACAGCCATATATTTGGGTGCACATGGCACCAACATTGGAGGATGCACTATCTTTATGCTAGTTATTTACTCAACATAAATTTAGGCACATTAATAAGATAATGTCAGCACTAGTTCACTTACCTCTAAAATTTATCACAAGAATACAATATAATACTACAAGCTAGGAGTAGAGAAAAAAAAGGTCAACAAAGAAGTATCCTGACCCAGTTAAGGCCATGTTTGATTTAGCTTAGGATTATAATAATCTGGGTTATTAGGAGTAGCTTATTACAATCTATAAGCTAGATTACTATAATATAGTAATCCACTCTAACTATGCTTTTTTAGATTATTGGGTGGCTAACAGCTAACAAACATCTAATAATCTAAAGAAACAAATAGCTTATAGTTTATTCTGTGTTGGCTTATTATAATTCAACTTATAGTAATCTGGCTCAATAATTGAAATTACAATAACCTTAAACTTATACATATGTAATATGACGACCATTTTGTACTCTCGAGCTTTCTTTAGATTTTTTTAATTCACGTGAATAACCAACTAGTTTATGAATTGTCAAAAAAAACCCCTTTTTTTGTGGGGTATCCAAAAAAAACTTTATGCATAGTGAGGCTGGGGATTGAGTCATGGAAAAAGTTCCCAAAGTCCCTTCTTTCTTAAAAACAGGGGGCCCGTATGTAAAGAAGAGAAGCATCAACAATTAATCAGCTTTCGTGATACCCCTGTTTTAGTTGCTAATTAAACAAGTTCTTGGATTGAAATTGTTCAATTAATTCCCTGATTAGTAGCCACACCTTTCAGGCTTTTCAGATCGATCGTTCTTTTGACCTATCCACCAACTATGATTAGCGTAGCCCTGGTTATTGAGGGTGAACCATCAGGATGTTCGACCAACCTAGTCACTGGCAAGTGGGCCTACGGATATAACAGTCGTGCTTCAGAAAATGACATGCCAAAATGGCAATCTAATCGCCCGTCATGCTTGGTTAACCACATCAGCGATTGTATAAAATGGACCAACTGACTTGTCAACTGAAATACATACTTATATTTTGGTTTGTGAGGAACCGAAATACATGGTTTAATGTATATATATCTAGCTTGATCTCACTCAGTCGTGGAAAAAATGAGGATTTGCCGCTGTCCAACAGTGATATTTAATTTCATAAAAAACAACCTATGATATGTATAAGTACGACCATAATAATTGAGCCAAGCATATATATTTTGTACTAGGATAGAGGAAAACGGGTGAAGAGATGCAACATATAAAAATCACAAATACCCTGTCAAATCCTAAAGATGTATCTAGATGTACGTTTTGTCCAATGCCCTAGAATTTGATTTTTCCTGGAACAAAGTAGTAATTTAGAATATTTGGTTACTAGTTTTTTTTTAAAAAAAATCGTATTTTTATAAGCGTGGAGCAACATAATCTGTGGTAAAAATCTGGAAAAAAAACGAATAGAACAGAGCCTATAACATCCTCAATTCTTTTGTCCACGGGGAAAATATCAGCTATGTAGGCGAGGATTCTATTGGGTTTGTTCTTTCGAGATGCCCATTCATTATTTGTCAACTGTCATTGCTATATCTTTTGTTCACCACGCACGAAGTCATGTTGCAACTTTTGGTAAAGCTAGCATCAACAATTAATCTATCATTAAAACAAGAATCATATTTTTTTGAAAGATCACCACTATTAAAAGAAGAATCGATATGTAACTAATGTAACTCTTAACAATCTTCATAGTATTATCCATGTCTCCCGATACAAACAAAGAAGTTGGAAGCACGGGGCAGCTTCCATGTTACACTTTTCATTTTCTTGAGACTATATTGGTGATCGATCAACTTGCCCCCACTTATAATAATTACTCTTCTATACCAAAACTGTCCTTGTGGAGTGCTGGGTTGCCTAATTTAATCCCCATTTGGTACTGTATTTAGTGGACTATATCCTCCAATCATGGCAATTAATGAACACTTAGCTACACATACATACATATGCTGCTCCCCACTTAAGACCAAAGAAGAATGTCTTTGTCAGCATGCCCATAATCCACACAGATTCCTCCCTTGGTATTTGTCTGCCACCCACAGTCTCCACTAATTAATTAACTCTAGACAAGTTATTAGGGAGGTTAGTTACACTACGTTTTAGAACTCTCAGGCCACTAATTAACATACTTACTTGCTTAAGATAAGCTACTTTATCAATGAACTAGCAGGTACACTGTGCAGACAGAATTATATGTTGTGTAGTATGATTCAAGTAAAGGGTTAATTGACCTTAACGCAAAGAGGCATGTATATCGATAGCTTGTTAGATGCGTGCATGGTTTAGAAGTCTCTCTGAAATATCAAATGTTACTATCATTGCTGGCTCCTTGCGTGGGCTTGCTAAACAGTGAACATATTTGAAAAAAGAAATACTCTCTCTGTTAATTATGAAATGTTTGATGTTGATTAGTTCTTTTTTAACTAAACATATAACATAAAAATAAACAGGAGTACAATACAATTAGAATGCTGGCGTGGACACTATTTTTCTTTCTTTTCTGTTTCTAGCGCAAATTTACTGAACACTAGGCAGTAGGCACAGGCGACAATCGCATCCATAAATTGACATATTAGCATCAAATCGATTATGCTTTAGCTTTGAGAAAGGTTGTGAATATGAAAATATGTAGTGATACAGATGAGAATCAGATTCTCTGACCTTTTTCAAAGGTACACAGAAATGAGTTTGGTGCAAATACGGTGACAACAGTGTAGATGATGCAAAAATAATCATCGTTCAATAGTACTGTAGCATGTTTGGCCTTATTAATTCCTTGTGAATTGGATATCGGAAAATATCCCAAATTAAGTTCGACTTAATTCACCTATGCCTTTATATTCAACTAAAAGTCTGAGGAGTGAACTCCAAATCGGACGTTCGATTCCCTCTAAATCAGGTGGTTAAATACTTCACTTAACCATTAGGTGAAACATTAAGTTATACATGGTGAAAAAAAATTAGTAACTGAAACATTGACTTTTTTTAAAGTACGGGTGTGTTTAGTTCACGCTAAAATTAGAAGTTTAGTTGAAATTGGAACGATGTGATGGAAAAGTTGAAAGTTGTGTGTGTAGGAAAGTTTTGATGTGATGGAAAAGTTGGAAGTTCGAAGAAAAAGTTTGGAACTAAACCAAGCCTATAGTGAAAACACACATTGAAACATGCTGCTGTCATGTATGAAACAATAAGTCTTAACGGTATAAAACATATGTATTTCGTTCATTAGAATATAGTCATGTGATATCTTATTGTAAAGATTTAACTACAACAAATATAATGGTGTGATTGGATCACATATTGGATAAGTAGTTTAGAAGAAAAAATATTTTAAAGATCTAAAATGGAAAGAGAGAGTGTGCAAATAGTACAAGACAAGAGAGAGAGAGTGTGAAAGACGTTGTTACGTAAACTTTAAAACACGCTAAAAACACACGGAAACATATAGCTGTAATGTATGAAACATTCACTTTTAACGGTTTAAAACATATGTTTTTCTTTTATCGGAATATAATCATGTGATATTCTATCATAAAGATTTAATTAACACGAGCATGATGGTGCAATTGTATCGTAAATTGGATAAGTACTTTAGGAGAAAATATATTTTGAAAAACAATATATACATGTATGGATGGATTGAGTAGGAAAAACAGTAGGATAATTAGTTGGTTACAGTGCCGGATAGATCGGTATACTGATCTGGAGCATTCTCCAAAGTCAGAGGATCCTAATCAATTTGGCTAAAATGTAGTGACCTTAAATCAAATCAAAATGCCATGCTTTTGTTGGCATTCATTGTTTTTGTGTGGTACCAAAATAAATAGAAGGGAGAATATAATTTGTCCATGGTGTAGTCGACTTACTTATAATTGGAATCAGTAACAATCATAACACAACATAATCCTAGGTGGGATTGGGCCCGAGCCCCACCAACATGGGTGGGTCTAGTACGGCGGACATGTCAAGACCTATTACAT